ATAATATAATAATTATTATTATCATGATTATCAAAATAGCAGTTGTCCATTTGCTAGTTGTAGATGACAGATTTATAGGGGGTGATTGTTGATGCTGATGGAATGTGGAGTAAAAAGCTTGAATAGTAATTTCAGGATCTGTCTAAATGGTGGAAGTTGTGTGGACAGAATAAACGATTATGAATGCCGCTGTGAACGTGGCTATACAGGACGTAACTGTGAGCAATTCGTTGACTTGGAACAGTTCAATAAGACGGATGTACTGGAGAGGGAGTTATGCGAGAGGCATAAATGCACTGATAAGGCAAATAACGGCGTGTGTGATGCGGTCTGTAATTATTACGCGTGTGGATTCGATGGTGGCGATTGCAGTGCACACATAAACCCATTCGATAGATGCGCATCACCCAGCTATTGTGCACACGTTTTTGGCGATGGAAAATGCGACACGGTAAGGTGTTGTGTGATTCGCTTCGGTTTAAGTTGAGTAGTTGCCGTCGAACTATCGCAGTGAGTGTGCGGGAAGAGTTGATGAAGCGAGAAGGAAATTCGAGTGGTTGTATTTGAATGTGGATATTTTAGATATGTAACAACGAAGGTTGCTTATTCGATGGGTTCGACTGTGATAAGTTGCGTAATCGATGCGTACAAAAACAGTTCTGTGCATCGCATTATGGTAATGGTGTGTGCGATAAGGTGTGCAATAATGCTGGTTGTGGTTGGGATGGAGGCGATTGCGATCAGTCGTCTGATAACGACGCTTTGGTGAGAAGTATTTCACTGGACGATTTGTTGGTGTTGATTTGTAAATTGATTGACTGATGAAGTTAACTGCATTGCTTTGATGCATCCCAGCACGTTTTCTTGACATCGATGCCGTCAANACATTGCGATTTCAGTTAGCCGGAGATGTGATAATGGTTTTATTGGTTAAACCAAACGATTTCGTCCAAAACGCACAGACATTCTTGTTGACACTCAGTCAGAAATTAAGAGCTTCGGTTCGGATTCGTTTCGCGGACGGCAAACCGATGATTTACGAATGGGGCTCAGAGAGTGGTGTTGGAGCACTTGTCGAGATACCGACCGAGAAGTTACCTTTGTTGTCATCGACCTATCAACGTAGCAAACGCAGCTGTGAGTTCATTTCTTCATTCGGATCGCGAACGATCGACGATTATTTGTTGTTGTTTGGAGCAGACGAATTTGATTCATACCTTTTAACTGTTTACTGCCAACGTCTGTAGTTATTGTCTTTTGATATCTCTCTGAACTGTTTTCCTCGTTCGGTATATAATTGATGCATTTGATGATAAATGCAAAAAAATTCTAATTAAGTTTTCATTCATTCAACTCCAAAGAAATAAATTGAACTTCGAAAAACAACAAGCGAAGTTTTGTGTGATCGTTATTGAAAACGGAAAGAAATATTGCAGCAACACAGAATGAATTGAGTGGAACAATGGTGATATTGAGTCTGAATGTTGCACGGTGTCGTCAAGAGGATCGTAATGATTGCTTCTCGGATCTGTTCAGTGTTGTCAGTTTCCTTGGTGCTGCAAATGCCAAACAAGTAATTCTTTTTCACTATTTCTTCTTTATCATTTCATCTTCTATTTATTCAGTCAATCTGATATGAAGATAAATGATAGCAACATTTTTCCGATATATTTCATTATATACGACAGTCAAATCTCATTAGGAATAAAAAATATTATCGTCCAAGTTTACAGTAATTCACCTTAAATTTTAATGACTTCAGTAAAAGATCGTATGATCAACAACATGATTCATATGGTTGCTGTTCGACAGTTGAACAAAGATTNTTCAGTAAAAGATCGTATGATCAACAACATGATTCATATGGTTGCTGTTCGACAGTTGAACAAAGATTTAAAAAAAACTATTCCAATTCAGGAACTTCAAGAATTGGGTATGCCGATGTATTCGGCTCGTGCAGAAGTAAGGCCATCGATTTCGGAAGAGGAGACGAGTCCATTCAGAGTGATTTTGATCTCATTTGCTGTGATTATCGCAATTGTCGTGATTGCTTTCCTGATGGTTCAACAAGGCCGAAAACGAAAAACAATTCATGCTCACATCTGGCATCCACCCGCAACTGATAGTTGTTAGTTGTTGATGTATCCGATCGCTCTTTTCTCCTGAACTCGTTTCAACCCTCTTCAAATTTTTTTGTCGTATTTTTGATTAATCGTCGTTACCAAATGATCTTCAAGTTTACGCTGTTCAGTATCTGAGAAAAATTTGGAAATTAATTCACTTTGAATTGTAAGCAAGCGATTTTGGATAATTAAACGTTGAAGGCAAAACGTTACGAATCTTAACTGCAGTGACAGAGTAGGGGAATGGCTATCCAGCACATGAATATTGCCTCTGGCTGATT